CCCATTGGTTAGTTGTGGATTTCTGCATCTGCTTTCATCTGTTTCTGGAAGAGGGTTCTAGCTTCTCTGGGGTTGTGGATTGCAGGCTGGGTATCTTTTGCTTTATTTCTGGCATCCAATTATGAGTGAGTACATACTACATTTGTCTTTCTGGGTCTGGGTTATCTCATTTGGGATTTTTTTCCCTAGTTCTGTCCATTTGTCTGCCTATTTTAGGATGTCATTGTTTCTTACCACTGAGTCATACTCCATTGTGTAAATGTACCACATTTTCTTAATCCATTCTTCAGTTGAGAGGCATCTAGGTTGTTTCCAAGTTCTGGCTATTATGAATAACGCTGCTATTAACGTAGGTGAGCAAATGTCCCTGTGGTGTGAGTGTGCCTCCTTTGGGTAGACGCCCCAAAGTGGTATTGCAGGGCCTTGATGTAGATTGATCCCTAATTTTTGGAGAAATTGCCATACTGATTTCCACAGTGGCTGTACAAGTTTGCACTCCCACCAGCAATGAAAGAGTGCTTCCCTTTCTCCACGTCCTCTGCAGCATAAGCTGTCATCAGTGTTTTTTATCTTAGTCATTCTGAGGGGTGTAAGATGGTATCTCAGAGTTGTTTTGATTTACATTTCCCTGATAGCTAGGGAAGTTGAGCATTCCCTTAAGTGTCAACTTTATTATTTTTTTAAAGCTGTTTCTTTCTATCACTCTCCAAACCTATTTTCTTTTCTTAAGCCTATACATATTGCAAAACACATTGGAACCCATTTAGAGTGTTTTTTTTTTTTTCTCCTGTCTGGACCTCTTTTACTGCATATATTTTAGCCTTTTTTTTGGCCATGTGAGCAATCTTTTTTTGTTTGTTTGTTTGTTTGTTTGTTTGTTTTGGGTTTTTTTTTTTGTTTTTTTTTTTGTTGTTGTTGTTTTTTTTGTTTTGTTTTGTTTTTCGAGACAGGGTTTCTCTGTGTAGCTTTGGAGCCTATCCTGGCACTCGCTCTGGAGACCAGACTGGCCTCGAACTCACAGAGATCTGCCTGCCTCTGCCTCCCAAGTGCTGGGATTCAAGGTGTGCGCCACCAACGCCTGGCTGGTGTGAGCAATCTTTAAATTCTAAGCTACAGCTGGGTCCTCTGTGCGACTCTGATGGTTGCCTCTGCCCGATTCTTGGGCCATGAAGCCAAGCCTAAAGCTTGGAGGTACATGACCAGGAACTGCATTAAACCTTCCCAGCTATGGAATGCCAATACCTGAGCTGCCACAGGCTGCCTTCTGAACAGCAGCTTCTCTTAAAGCAGTCATGTCTTTCCCCGTACTCCCCTCTCACCCCCCGAAAGATATCTCAGGCCCTACATGGGAATAGGAGTTCATGTTTGAACACCAAAATGTTGTTGGTTGTTTTACTCTTGGGCTCTTTGCACTTAGCTCTTTGGGGCAGGGGGCATCCAAACCCCAAATAAATCACACTGAGACTTATTCTTACTTATGAATGCCCAGCCTTAGTTGGCTTGTTTCTAGCCAGCTTTCCTTAAATTATCCTGTCCATCTTTTGCCTCTGGGCTTTTGTCTTTCTCTATGTCTTTCTTTACTTCTTACTCCATGGCTTGCTCTGTAGCTGGGTGGCTGGCCTGAGGTGTCCTCTCTCCTTTTCTCGTTCCTTGATCCCCTCTTCCCAGATTTCTCCTCCTCTCTATTCTCTCTGCCTGCCAGCCCCACCTATCCTTTCTCCTGCCTGGCTATTGGCTGTTCAGCTCTTTATTAGACCATCAGGTGTTTTAGTCAGGGAAAATAACACAGCTTCACAGAGTCAAACAAATGCAGCATAAAATAATACAACACCTCTTGCACCAGCCAACAAATATTTTAAATGGAACACGCCTTAAAATAATATTTCACAACACCCAAGCATGTAAGACCTTTGCTTTAAATTTCTTCAAAAATGTACTTATTCATGTGTGTGTGTGTGTGTGTGTGTGTGTGTGTGTGTGTGTGTGCGCGCGCGCGTGCAAGCGTCTTAGTTTGAGAAAAGACACCATGACAAGAAAGCAATTATAAAAGAAAGCACTTAATTGGGGGCTTGCTTGAAGTTTTAAAGGGTTAGTCCTTGCTTATCACAGTGGGAGCAGACAGGCATGGTGCTGGAGCAGGGGCTAAGAATTTCACATCCTAATTGGTCCACAGGCAGCAGACAGAGAGATGGGCTGGGCACTGGGCCTTGGCTTTTTGAAACCTCAAAGCCCACCCTCAGTGACACACCTCCTCCAACAAGGTCACACTTTCTAGTCCTTCCCTGCTGGGAGTCCAGCTCCAGAGGGGTTCAGGTCCCAAAGAGGAGTTGTTGGAGTCGGTGTCGAGGGTGAATCGGGATGGCTACATCTTTTTTTTTTTTTTAAGATTTTATTTATTTATTATGTATACAACATTCTGCTTCCATGTGTATCTGCACACCAGAAGAGGGCACCAGATCTCATAATGGATGGTTGTGAGCCACCGTGTGGTTGCTGGGAATTGAACTCAGGACCTCTGGAAGAGCAGTCAGTGCTCTTAACCTCTGAGCCATCTCTCCAGCCCCAGCTACATCTTACATAGACTATAACTGCATCACAGTGGAACCACAAACAATACTGAAAGCAGGCTTAATGACTCCAGGGTGAAAGCCATCACCCACATACTTACAACATTTTTCTTGAAGCAAGAAAACCATAATTTTAGCAAGAATCTATCTAAATGCCTATTGTTCTGAAAGGTTCAGTAACCCCACCAGGTGCCCTCCTATACTTCCTCCTGCACCAGCTCAGCCTTTGTGGTCAGGAGGTGTCAGGTGGTTCCTCAGAAACAAACCCATGAGAACAGTTTTCTTCTTCAACAGGCATGACACAGTGTTTGGGCCATGCAGCACAAGCATTGAGCTGTTTCTTAATTGCATTTCTTTGTGCCTTAGTCTTTCCCCAAAGAGAAGGTCCTGACATCTTACTCTTTTCATTATCTGAGTCCTTCAAGGGATGTTCCTGTATGTGGCAGTCGGGGCTCAAGCCAGTTTAACTTCTCAACAGAGTCTACTTAACTCCCCATGGAGCAGACCAGATCTTGCCATTCATCCAGTAAGTCACTGATCCTGGGCACTGTTTTATACTTATTAATTGCACAATGCTGGGATTCAAGGCGTGCACCACCAACCCCCCCCACCCCACCAAGTGTCTGTGTTTTTTTTTTGTTTCTATATCTCA